TACTGAGACTGGTCGAGTAGCTCTCGGCAAAGTGTCGACTTCAAAAGTAGCTCTTGGTTCAAAAAAGTTTGGGCACCCCTGCCTTAAACAAACACATTGAACCAACATTTTAAAATCACTTTCCAGATTATTCCACAAGCTTATTCCTTGAACTGAAGTGCATTGATCCTTCAAATTTGTTCCAATTTTAGGTTTTATAAACATCTGAAGTCCCTTAAGATTATATAAACTTTCTCTCTGAACAAAATATAACTGAATGTTTAAAGGTAATTTTGTATGAGCCTTATACATAATCAGCAAGATATTATAATCAACCAAATCATACAATTTTAACAATTTCAATTTAGAAAGTAATATATTCGACGGATGACAGTAATGTTTTCTGGTGATAATTCTGACGGCTCTTTTCTGTAAAATAAAAACAGGATTTGTGATTGTTTTGCAAGCTTTACCCCAGACTTCAACACAGTAAATCAAGTGTGGAACAATTATTGCATTATAAACAGAGCTTTATCATTAAATAAGGCTGATATCCAATATTGATATTGGATCATGACACTCCTATTAGCTTCAAAATTGGTTTAACCATCTTGTGATCTACAGACATCCTGAATCACACAGCAGTATGCAACCTTTCAATTTTGTCATGTAGAGCAAGTTTTATTCTTTTTTTTTTTTTTTTTGCACACTTGTCAGTTCACTACAGTCATGTCTCACTTGATTCTGGACTAAAAGAAAATGCTGACAGGAATAGTGCAGTAGTGATTGCATCAAGTTGTGTATTTCCAGTCTTATGAAAAGTAGTTCTAACTCAGTTCTGTGATTTCCTGTTTCCTGCAGGATCTCGACCCAGGTTAGAGGATGCTGCTCCTCGGATCATCGAACACCCGTCGGATCTGATCGTGTCCAAAGGAGAGCCGGCCACCCTCAACTGCAAGGCGGAGGGACGGCCCACGCCGACGGTGGAGTGGTACAAGGACGGCGAGCGGGTGGAGACGGATCGAGAGGACCCCCGCTCCCACCGGATGCTCCTGCCCAGCGGCTCCCTCTTCTTTTTGCGAATTGTTCACGGAAGAAGAAGCAAACCCGATGAGGGCGTCTATATATGTGTGGCACGCAACTACCTGGGAGAGGCAGTGAGTCGCAACGCTTCACTGGAGGTGGCAAGTGAGTGCTGGTGGTCCGCTTAAGGCTGGTTTATACTTCTTGTCGCACGTCTTTTACCCCCCGCTGAGTGAAAAAAATGTTGCGCAACTTGCGTCTGCACTCCCGCTTCTATCCCCCGGTGACAGCTGTCCTATACATTGCCCCCAGTCAGCACTCCGAGACGCGGAGGATGCGGCGCGGAGTGTGTGATTGGTTCAAAGTTTGCATTAGTAGTATTGATAGTAGTATTAGTAGTATTGATCACGTATTTGCTTACAAATTGATTTCTGTTGTGAGTATAAAAACAAAAAAAATATTTTGTTATTTTTGGTCATATTTTCAAAGAGCCACTGTAGAGGGACCAAAGAGCCGCATGTAGCCCCAGAGCCACAGGTTGCAGACCCCTGGTCTAGTGAGAAACTCCCTCACAACAAGTGTGTAATAAAATAAAAGTCCACTCAGCTTCAGTTCCAGGGTTTAATCAGAACTGAAAACAGTCCCGTCTTTACCGAGTTGTAAAACTTTACGTTTCACCACAGAACAGATGTTAGAGTAGAATAGAAATAGAACAGAAATAGAATAGAAATGGAATAGAAACAGCCTTTATTGTCCCGGGCGGGGAAATTCAGGTGCAGTAGCAGCAACAGGTACACACATCAAAAACACAAAACAGTATGCTGCTATGTGACAACATCAGATTATAACAAAAACAGAAAAAGAACAATAATCACTGTACCGGACCATCAACGAGAAACCAGATAAAAAATTGAAGCAGCTACTGTGCAGAAAGACACACAACCACAGCAAAATCCATTCTTGACAGACTTGTGCAAAATGAGTCAAACTCAGTGTGTGTAAATTGAGTCGAACTCGGGCGTGTGCAAATTGTTTCAGTGTCAGTCATTAAGTTCAGTACAGGAATAAAAAACAGTGAACAATTATTATTATTGGTTKTTATATMTGAAATGATTTCGAGGTAGAGTTGTTTGATGTGCAAACACACATCATCACACACATTTCTTATGATTGTTGTGAGCAGTGATGGTTATAAAAAGTCTAACAGCTGATGGGAGAAATGATCTGCGGTAGCGCTCTTTTGTGCATTTAGGATGCAGCAGTCTGTCACTGAAGGAGCTCTGCAGTTCAGCTACAGTTCCATGCATCGGGTGGGAGGAGTCTTCTGTTATAGATGTTATTTTAATCAGAGTTCTTCTGTCTCCCACRACCTGCACTGGGTCGAGGGGCCATGTTATTAATTATTAAACAAAAGCTACACCAAGATGGACAAGCTGTGTGAGCACCTCCATGAAAACAAGACAGAAAGTCCTCATCAGGGACCTCAGAGAAGCATCAGTCTGAGAGGGGTCAAAGGTCACTTAGAGCCCATCAGTGGAGACCAAACAGCTGTTAACCTCTGAGGAGAGCTCAGAGAACTGACAGGTGTTCAGAGTACAAGGTGCAGTTCGCAGGTTAAAGGTCAAAGGTCACGATAAGAAGGGTTGAAGGAGAGAGACTTGATCTCTAACAGCAACATGGCACAAGTGAGGTTTGAAAAGTTTCATCTGAATAAACGTCAAGACTTCAGGACCAAAGTCCTCTGGAGGCTTGAAACCAAAGTAGTGCAGAGTTTACCCATAATGCACTGCAGCACGTTTGAAGAGAACCAATCACAACATGTCAGCAGGTGGAGTGCTGATGGTTTGGACCATGAGCTCTTCTGTCGGATTCTGGAGTCACATCTGAGACCATCTGTACAACAGAACCATGATCCAAATCTACGACAGAAACACTGAAGCCTGCCTGACTCAGAGCTGAGCAGAAACTCTGCTAACTCCAACACTGAAGAAGACTGGGCTGACGGGTCTCCACAATGAGACAAGAGTCCCTGAAAACCCAGAGCTGGAAGTGATCACTTCTGCAAGAGGCGGGGCTTTTTTGTTTTTGTTTCTTAAATAATGAAAAGATGAAATCTATTGTCAAAAAGAAAAAAAATAAGTAGTTCCTCTGGATGGGTTCTTCTTTAGTGAAACATTTCGTCTCTACTCCAAGAGACTTCTTCAGTCTGATGAGTTTCAGGTGAAACTCAGCCTTATAAGCACTGCCTCCACATGGACAAACAGGTTAGTCACATGCAAAAGAGGGCCATCGACTAACAATAGGCTTGATTGGCTCTATTGTTCATAGAGGGTCATGTGCCCCATCACCTGACCAGTGTCGTGTTATGTGAATGTAGTGAATGCAAGCGGGGGTTCAACATCCCCTTGGTTTTGTCCCTTTTTCCCTCTTTGTGTTGGTATCATTGGGGCCCTGATTCACACCTGAAATCCGTTGTGTTTTTCCCTGTTTCAGGTTAGATTAAAATGATTTTTGAAGCTGATAAAAGTCAGATCAGTTTTGTTATGCTTTGTACGTGAACTAGAAGAGCTGTCAGATCAACAAGTGTCCAACATTTACTTCTACAAAGGGTTAAAATGACAGAGTGTGGGCGATCATGGTCGCTGCATCTGCAGCTTCACTCAGCTGTGATCCTGAGACACTGACCCAACATTGAGGTCAGATCTGACAGATTTCACCCTCAGGCCCCTTCACCCCCCCTGAGGTCTCCAACACCCCCTCCACAGAAGCAGCTTCCTGTCGGGTTACACTCAGAGCTCTGTCATTGGCCCCGTGCTGCTGACAGATGACAGCTGAAGACAAAGAGACAGCAGTTGTCCCCGCTGGACAGATAAACTGGGAAACTGTCTTGTAGAYCGAAGAGGTGGGGGGTGGGGGGCTCAGTGTGCAGGCAGCTTCAACAGATGGTATTTCCTGTAAATACAACAAACTCCTGTCAGATTGGAGCGCTCTACATCCCTCCTTCTCAGAGAGGCTGCTGGATCATTGATGCTTCCTCTTTGTTCTGACCGGGTCAGGGGTCATGGGTCGAGGGTCTCCTCATCACATCCACAGACTTTCTACGGTCAGGAGCTACTTTGTACAGCATTATGTGAGTTAGAAAGGGTGGTTGTAACTGTTCTAGATCACATTTCTCAGAGATGAATTGGGTTGGGTGGGCTTGACGCACACCTGTCTGTTGACCCCTCAGTCAGGGTGCTGCTACCTGGAGATGTTTGGAGACAGATTGGTCGTCCTTTCCTCAAATTTAAAGAGACTCTTCAGGATATTATGAAACTATACACAGGGTATATTAACTCCTATAAAACTGCATTTGGTGAAGGTTATTAATGATCCAGTATGTAATCTTTGTTCTTGTAGAGACATTGTTTTTGTCAGATGTTTTGGGAGTGCACACCAGTGTACAGATTTTGGAAGCTGGTCTCTTAGTTTATCTAAGATGTTTGGGATCATATTARTCGACTCACCTGCGACCTGTCAAAGCTGGATTTGACATTGGACAGTTGCGGCACATTGTAAACCTCCACAATCCACACATTTTGACATGTTTGGACATTATTTAGGACAGTGAATAGGTAGAGTTCCTGGAGCCAACGAATCAACAACCCGCTTCGGATGTTATCATCCATTAAATGGACATTATTAGCCGTTATCAGTCCCATAGAATGGCTTCAGACTGRCAGCTGGTTAATATGAGGCATAAAGCCACTAAGGTTAATTTTAGAGAAAATGACATGGACTATGATAAAGTAGACCGGACTCTGGTGGTAACAGATTGTTGCATTCCAACATATATAGCACTGGTAACCCACTACGGGGCACTGTCGGGACAGTCTGAAGCCATTCTATGAGACTGATAACCGCAAATAACATCCATTTAATGCAGTGGTTCCCAACCCTGGTCCTCAAGTACCCCTATCCAGCATGTTTTACTTGTTTCCCTACTATTCAGCAGGTCTTCAGAAGATTGTTAATCACTCGTTCATTAAAACCAGGTGTATCAAATCAGGGAAACATCTAAACATGCAGGAAAGGAGTCCTTGAGGACTAGGGTTGAGAATCACTGCTTTAATACGTTATCTGATTTATTATTTACAAATAAATGGCAAAGAATCAATGGCTTCCAGAGGCAACACTAAAAAACATAAAACTAAGTCAATATTATATTTTGAAAATGTCTCATCAAGCTCAAAGAAGCTCTTGAAGTGTTGGTCAACATTTGAAGCAGTGATTTTTTGGTGTTTCCCTGATTTGATACACCTGGTTTTAATGAACGAGTGATTAACAGTCTTCTGAAGACCTGCTGAATAGCAGGGAAACAAGTAAAACATGCTGGATAGGYGTACTTGAGGACCAGGGTTGGGAACCACTGATTTAATGGACAGATAACATCCGAACAGGCTGGAATCGACAATAAAAGCTTCACTTCTAGTGATTCTCCATGAATATCAGATGTAATATAAGAAGGGTCCCTGAAGACAGAGTGGGTGGGCTGTATTTGGGGTTATAATTTTTTTCTTTGTTTTTGTTTTGTTTGTCCATTCTTATATAAGCATATTTACAGGTATGTGGACTCATGATTCATATATATAATTTATTATTATTACTATACATGTTTTTTAATGTAAAAAAGTTCACCTTCACTTGAAATGATAAAATAAAAGTTGATCACAAAAAAGGGTATTGTGAAATGTGGTGAGGCACTTCACAAACGGACGGATAAAGAGTGGTGGAGATGTATTCATGATATTTGCCAAAAACTAACAGTTTGGAAGGAAAGGAATCAGTGAACTGATCGCAAATACTTCTATCTGTATTTAGAGTCTTACAAATGTACTATGTTTAGCTGTGAACTTTAGGTATTAGGCAGTACTGTAGATCAGCAGACTGACTTCAGGTAATTGAGGAATTGTTCTTTCCATGTTTGACATTTAGGTGTTTATTTAAAGGGGACCTATTTTGCAAAATTCACTTTTTGGTTTTTTAACTCAACTTTGGGTATGTACTTCTTAAAAAAACAGTCCTAGGACCAAAAAATGCACCCAGGGGCATATTTACTGTAAGTAAATGTATTTTTAATGTATATTAACGACAAGTTTTATACTTCCGTCATTTTGTGATGTCAC